ATTAAAATATTGTGCAAAAAATAAAATAAAACAAATTTTTATTTAATCTAGTTAAAAATAATTAAAATATTAAAGATATGTTTAATATTGCTATTACTTAGTAAACAATTGAAAAAGGGTAAAATAGTCTTTTGTTCATTTATCCTATCCAGTCCGTCCAACCAAACGTTGGATTCACTGAAAATAGTCCTATCCAGACATCTAATCCCATGAAAAAACAAACACAGGATACATATCCAATCTGACCAAATAGTCCGGGGGATTCACAGTCCCATGACTCAAGTCCGATGGATTCTAATCCCCCATTTTCCAGTCCGTAAGGTGTGTTTGATTGGGGGATAAGAGGGGAGATTATCTACTATTTGGACTCCATGTCCGGCCTCCCTCCTTATCCGTCGTTTGATTTTTTTTTAGTCCGGCGGACTCCATGTCCGGCCGGACTCCATGTCCCCCATATGGGGGACTATCCTGTCCTGGGGGGGTGGGACAGAAAGTGGGGGACTAATCACTGTTTGGATTATATGCGAAAATGACCATTTTGACCCTCTACTATTTAATTATGTATAAAATTCAATAAAATTTAAATGTCTCAATTTAAAAATAAATAATTTTTTATAGATATTTTATTGATGTTTTATTTTAAAATTTTGTTTATGTTTTATTTAATTTCATTGTTTAAATTTAATAGATGTTTTAATAGATGTTTTATTTAAACAATTAAATGTTTAATTTCAACAATAAATAATTTCATTTATTTAAATTATGTTTTATTTAAACATTTGTACATCAACATGTTTATTAAATTATTTCAACATCTGTACATCAACATGTATATTTATTTAACATCTATTAAATTATGTTTTAATACGTCAACATTTGATTACATCTACATTTGTTAATTGTTAATTACATCAACATTTATTAATTGTTTAAACATAATCTATACATCAACATTTATTTAATTGTTAATTGTTAATTGTTTAAACATAATCTGTACATCAAAATAATAACAATGTTAATTGTTTAAATAAAAATTTAAACATTTAACCATTAGTATGTTTAATTTCAACAATAAATTTTTATTTGTTTAAATAAAAATAATCTATACCAGTCAAATTTTTTTATCAATATTAGTATGTTTAAATATCTTTAAACAAAATTTAACCATTAGTATGTTTAATGTTTACTAAAAATAATTAAAATATTAAAGATATGTTTAATATTGCTATTACATAGTAAACAATTGAAAAAGGGTAAAATAGTCTTTTGTTCATTTATCCTATCCAGTCCGTCCAACCAAACGTTGGATTCACTGAAAATAGTCCTATCCAGACATCTAATCCATGAAAAAACAAACACAGGATACATATCCAATCCGACCAAATAGTCCGGGGGATTCACAGTCCCAGGACTCAAGTCCGATGGATTCTAATCCCCCCTTTTCCAGTCCGTCCAATCAAACACGAGGATATCTTATGGTGTATAGTGATAGGCTGACAGCATGTCAATGAGATGTGTAGAATACATGCTTACAGATTTGTTAATTGTGATTTAGAGATTTGCATTTGTTATGATTATGTCTTTTCTTTTTATTTCATGTCAATAAAGACGTCATCTTTTTAGTTTATCCTTTTTCTACATTATTATGTTGTTTTGGGTATTGTTTAACAGACTGCTTAAGGCAAAAAACGTTCTCACTGAATTCTGGTTTAGACACCATGCAAGTTCAGCCTAGTCTGGAACATTCTAAGGTGATTTCATCAATGGGGTGGGGATGAATGAGTTGTCCTTGGGATAGTGTTCTTTTCGTGATGTGTTTATTTGATGTGTTGCCTTGCCTCACATTGATTGTACTTGAGGATGATTTTAGTTTCTTAAGATGGCTGAATGTTTGTGTATTTTATTCTCAATATACAGCTGGGGAGTCATTTAGAGATCTTATCCCAGAAAATGAAAGGGAAAGTTTCATTTATGCCTCCTGGAAGAGATTAAACTTTGTTGACCTGGAAACACAAGTAAGAATTATTTTATTGGTATTGATGCATACAAGAATTTGCACTTTTAGCAACAAAAAAATTGGTCGCTAAAAGTCATTTTTTGGTCGGCAAAAGTTATCCGCGACTAATTTTTTTGGTCGCTACTTTGGTCGCCAATTGAGGGTCGGCAAAAGTAATTCGCGACCAAAATTGTGGTTGGTCGGCAAAAGTTGGATTTGCCGACTAAATTTTCGGTCGCTAAATATTTAATTACCGCGACTAATTTGTTTTGTCGCCAAAACACTTTGGTCGCGAAAAGCGATATTTTCCCGACCAAATTTCTTAGTCGCCAATTGTCACATTTCGCGACCAAAAAGTTTGGTCGCCAATTATTACATTTCGCGACCAAAAAAATTTGGTCGCCATTTGTTACTTTTCGCGACCAAAACTTTTGGTCGGCAAAAGTGAGTTTCCACTACTAAAAGCTGTTTTGGTCGGGAATAGATGTATTTTTTGCGACCAAAACTCTTGGTCGGCAATTGTCATTTTTTGCGAAAAAAAATTATTTATTTGTTGCAACTAATAAATTGGTCGCCAAAGCAGGAAAACAATACACCTGTAATTCCTAATAACTCATTCAATCCATAATAAACCTATAATTTTAAAACATCATTCAAATTAACTGAATCATTAACATTCAACACAATACATAATTCATTAACATTGGACACAATACAACTATTTTAAGTTTTCATTCACAAGTCACATCCATCTAGCATAATAAATTGAAACAATACATAATTCAGATTTACAACATCAGGAAAATTGCTTAATCCACTAAGTTGCCTTGATAGCCAATCAAAAAGATCCTTGCGCCCTTCCGTGCCAAGCTTCGAATCCATCAAAGCAGTAGTGATGTAAGGCACCTAATAAAGAAACAGAATTGAAAAATTTATCAGAGAAGCATGATAAATATATAAAATTAATTAATGCATAAACGAAATAGAGAAATTGGAACCCAACCATTTTGTCGAGATGAACAGCAGCAAGCCAAGCAACTAAAGTTCATTTCTACTTTATCAGAAATTCAAAGCCAATAGTCTACTAAACAAACGTAAATAAAAAAAAACAATCAAATTCAAGCTTATAACATAAAAACAGCTTCACTCACCTATACCCCGCTATTTGAAGGAACATCTTGAGTAGTTCGATGGCTGAGCACTGCTTTCTGCAACTATTAGAAAGGACTTTCAAGATACGGCCTAGCTTACCAATATGACAACTCAGCAACTGAGACAAGACTTCCATTGGGACTTCTGAAGAAACTTCAAACCCCACATTTGTTAGCACACGAGCTATCACTTTTCTAGACATCTCTGATGCTTGCTCTTGACTGAGAAGTTTCCTGTTTCTATGAGATCCATTTTTTCCACGACATTGATTCCCTCCTTGTTCCATGCTCAGGTATTCTGGTCTAATACCATGCCTCTCAATCATAATAGGGCTCCTGGTCATAATTTGGGGCAGCATATCAAGAACACCATTAAAATCCACTTTGTGGTTTTCTTCCACTCGGTTTATGTGAGGAAGAGCACTATCAGGGACACAATTAAATGGAAACATCGTTTCAGGGAAGAAATATGTATCATCAACAATTGCATCATTGTCATTTAAAACCGAATTTCGGAGCATGTTTGATCCATTTTCTAACATGGGATTGCCGAAACCATTAGTTTCATCTTCCTTAAATGCTACTCGTCTTCTCTTATGCTTCTTGAGGATTCTAAGATAAGTAGACATCAGCTCAGGTGTACGCTTGTCTGTTTCCCGATCCCCAAATGATAACCTATATGGTTTAGTAGCTTTATAACTCTCAAAAAACTGAGTATACCATGTTTCTGGCAATTCTTCATGCCTGAATCTCTGGGCCATGTTGTCCATATCTTTTTCACCATCTCTTGATCCAATACTAATGGCTTTAGATTGGAGCTGCAAAATTTGTTAACAATATGAGTAAAATGACTCAACTATAACAGAAGTGTGAAATTGAAAACATATCATTTTAATATGCACTACTTGTGGTTCCAGCACATAATAGTAATAATTACATTGCATGATGGCCAGATAATAGTTTTCGAAAGAGGTCATTATACACATCTTTCCAAAGCTATTATCCGACAAATTGCTGTACTCTCTACTGATTTGTCCAAAATAGAAGTATCAGTTGTACGATAAGCTCTCCGGACTGCATCCTCTGTTTCAGTCCAGAAATCAGGCTACATGCAGCAACAGGAAAAGAGGATGAGAATAATTTCAACCATCTTATCAACTACCAATACTAGTTAACTATCAAAATAAGAATGATACAAAAGAAAATCAAAACGGGCAAGGGAGATGATCCATTTGTGTGAAGTAGTTCTATGTCCAGAATTTCGAGTGATAGATTAGTTGGAAAACAAACCTTCAGGACTTCAGTTGATGTTCTGCTCTAACATTACGTACAAAAGATTTACTTGATTAAAGGCTATCAGACAGATCAGATACATATAAATCCAATAAACACGTGGTAATGTACAGCTAGCATGTAGTACCTCATTCAAAATATTAACAAACAAATGAGACCGTAGATAATCAGGAATGTCATGGCTCAAATGACCATCAAATATTGCAAACAGACCAAGCTCATGCTCCTCAACTTGCTTGAATTCAGCAACAACATAATCTTCCATTGGGTGACTGGATTTTCCCTTAACCAAATGATAACCATGTGTTACGTGCTTTGACATCTTACTCTGCCCTTTTCCAGTGTCGGCAGATGAACCCAACTCAACTTTTTCCTTCAAAAGAAAAGCAAGCAACCATTGCCCATGAAAGAAAAACTTGATGAAAATTTGCCTTAAATAGTTACGTTATAACTGAACAAACCAGTAAATGCACACTCAAAATTAGAAGCCCCAAATGATGAGATCAGACATATATCCAAGAGCATAATTTCTATTTGTTCTATGTTTTACTGTGTAATTTATCCAAGAGCACTAAAGCTAAAACCTTAAACTAGTGTTCCTCAATTTCACCAACTGCAACGCTGACCAGCCATTGCATTCCTTCATTTGATACTTCAGACTTGTTAATTTTAGAAACAGCCCACTGGAGGATGCTATGAGATTAGATTTGGGAAGGAAAAATAGAAAGGAAGTGAATATGAGAAGAAAAAGAAAAAAAAAACTCATATTTCATTCACAATACACTCAAAATTAGAAGCCCCAAATGATGAGATCAGACATATATCCAACAGCATAATTTCTATTTGTTCTATGTTTTACTGTGTAATTTATCCAAGAGCACCAAAGCTAAAACCTTAAACTAGTGTTCCTCAATTTCACCAACTGCAACGCTGACCAGCCGTTGCATTCCTTCATTTGATACTTCAGACTTGTTAATTTTAGAAACAGCCCACTGGAGGATGCTATGAGATTTGATTTGGGGAGGAAAAATAGAAGGGAAGTGAATGTGAGAAGAAAAAGAAAAAAAAATAACTCATATTTCATTCACAATTTCCTTCTCTTTCTCTTTTCCCTCTCCAAATCTAGGATCCAAATGAGGATTTTAAATATGAGTACATATCAAGATTTTAGACTTCCCATATATACAATAGGGTCTTCCTAACAAGTGAATAAAAAAAAATGGAAAAGAACATGTAACACTTTTTTACTAAATTCAATACACATTCCACTAAAATCAATATATCACCTAATATCAGTCTGATATATGATTGTATGGCTAATACTGATGCGGTTATTGTAAACCATGATACATCTAAACACAGCCTAAAAGTATAGTAGGAGAGGAGAGTTCGACATTCGTGGGTCTTAATCCGGACCCATGTTGATAATCCAAGCCGTTCAATGTGTAGAATTCGTTGGGTACATTATCCCTACAAAAAGCCATGTTGATTGGATATTAGTAACCATGTGATCAAATCGTATTTATGTCGAAAATTATATTTGAAAATATGATCTGAACAAATAGTTATCCATATCCGGATTTTTTGTTGAGATAATATACCTAATGGGTTTAATACATTGAACGTTTTCAATTATCAACATGGATCCGGATTACAGCCCACAAATGCCGAACTCTCCTAACCAGGTCCTAGAAAGTAAACGAATTGGAAATCACATTTCATTTTAGTTTATAGATAGGCATATATATAGGTAGGTAATAAGCGAATCTCTAAGCTCTTGATAAGATGAAGATCTGTACCGATCCCTAAATCAGCAATCCACTAATAAAATAAGAATATTAAACATTGGCAAAAACTTGAGATAAATTGCAAAAGAAGTGGATCGTGCGAACAAGAAACAAAACAAAGGTAAATTGATACAGCAATGAATGAATAATTCATACATGTTGCCTTAATTCCCATCAATTTGAAAAGAATTTACATGTGTATTTGTGAATTTGAAACGTGTACCTTCATCTTGAGGAGGATTTCTCGGCCTGTCATGGCTGAAACTGTTCACGTTATTGCATCAATCCAGAAGCACGGTTGAAGAGAGAACCAAGCTAAAAAATATATATATATTCAATCTACAATAGATAGATATAAATAGATTAAAATATATCTAGATGACATATATATATACCACTAATAAGAACTACAAAACAGAGACAAATCTAAAAGATTGATCATATTGAAGATCTACGTGCACATCAAACTTCAACAACAACAAATCACAAATAGGAATACAAGTAGCCCTTATAATAGTAGTTACTCCTTAGAACAGTAGCCCATCTCCAGCATAGAGTAATTGCTCCTTTTATCAGTAGCCTAGCAGCAATACAAATTAGATCAAGCTCAAGCCTCAGAATACCTCAGAAGCAGAATTAGCACAGATAGGAATACAAGTCAATCAGCAATACCACAACAATACACATAGCATACACAGCTCCAAACCATTGAGTTTCCATCAGGCCAACACTACAGCAGACCCCAAACACCATTTTATCACCACCATTTTATCATCCCATAGAAGCTGCACAGACCAAAACTGCCACAGACAGAACTAGACCAGAGCAGAACAGCCAAATTTACAGCAACTCTTCAGGCCTGTATATAGCAGCATACACAGCAGACCCCAAACAGCCAAAACAGCCACCAAGTCAAATAATAGGATTCTTGGCAAACCAACAGATCAAACAGAGATCAGCACACATAGATAGACAAGCCAATTCAAAAAACAGCCACCAAAACAAACGGAACAAAGTAGACCAACTTAGCAGACCAACAGACCACAGCCTAAGCAGCTAAGAAGCAACCCAGATCAAACCAGACAAGGCCACACCAAACCTGAGGCAAAATTGACCAAAGAGACCGAAGAAAACACCAGTAAATCAGATAAGGCCCCATCCTGTTAAACAATCACCAAAACTTGTAGCTAACTGCTTCCAAACAGAATCTGGATTAAAAGCAGCAGCAATAGGATAGGTGACCTATTATCAGTTCAGCCTTTTTCATAAAGCACCAAAACAGATAGCCTCAAGACCATATATCAGTTCAGCCTTCTACCTTAGTAGGCCAATAGATTTTGTCTTTGGCTCTACCTATTATCACCCATCCAGACTTTGTAACCTTCTACCTACCAAACAATACCTGATGTCTCTGAGAATAAAAGTGGAAACCTGATGGAAAACTCACAGACAATGAAACCTAGTTGTGCAGCCAATGAAACCTGATCGATATACCTGCTTTATTCAAGGGACAGTTTTACACAACTGGATGTACCACAAGCCACAATCACAGCATATTAGAACAAAACAGATCACAATAAGATCACAGCAGAACAGATTTAATCAGCCACTGACAGCACAGCAGAACAAAATTAATCAGCCCTACTCAACCCGTGACACCACCACTGCTGCACCCACACAACACAGCAGTACAGAAAAGCTCCAAATCAATGAGAGTCCAAAAAAAAAGGCAGATCACAAAAACACAGCAGCTCACAGCTCGCAGCTCACAGATCACAAACAGGACTGTTCTCAACTCCCCTACCTAATATAATATTGAACCTGAGGCAAATTGAAAACTACATCATTCACAGAGAACACCACTTTGGCTGGGGAGGATTTAACCCACAAAGCTATTCTTGCTTTGACAGTTTCACATAATGCTTCCAAGTTAGGCTGAGAGCCATTAAAGACACAGTCATTTCTATGTTTCTATGTGGACCAAAAAACAGCCAATGGCACAACCTTCCACAGCATTTTCTCATTCTTTTGGGTGAATACGTTTTTAGGATAGAAATTATGGTGAATCGGACGATTCATAATCGATTCGCGATTTGATTCACTTTTATGATTCATACAATTCTTAAAACTATTGTGTATGACAGGTTCTAACCTTTTTTTATAGTGAAAATGACATAATACAACTTTGAAGAGTGTTTAATATGAAAACAAGTAATACTTGTGCATCATTTGTCGTTATTTTGGTAATCAGAGACTATTTAAATAGTATTCAATTAGATCCCGTCAAACCCAACATGATCTTGTACTTTTTTCTCAATTTTTTTCTCCAACAAATGTCATAATACATCTTCTAAAGATGCTTAAGGTTAAAGTAACAAACACACATGAATTATCTATTGCTTAAGTGTTTTGGTTAAAAAATAAACGATTTCATTTAATTCTTTCTTCATATTACACTCTATATAAGGTTTCTAGGTCCATTTTTTGAATGTCAAGTGAGATTATATTATGGTTGGTAAGATTTGGCATACATCTCTTGACATGAAGTTAATGCCCTCCCAATCAGATGGTGTAATTATATCTTTATACAAGAGTTATTTTATAAAATATGTTAAAATCAATTTATTTCATTCTTTTTCATATATAAATTTGTTTAACAATATGTTTTACAGTTTCTATTGAATCTTAACGATTCTCGATTCACAATACGATTCTTGATTTGACAACTATATATATATATATATGTATATGAAAAAAATGCAATTAAGTTAAAAATGAAGGATATATAGGTATATGTATGACATAGGAGAGAGAACGTGAAATAAGAGAAGGAAAAAGAAGAAGCCAAAGAAATATTAAGATCATTTCACATTTGTCATTAGCGGTGTTAGTATTGCATTTTAGTCCAAAACACATAAAACCTTTTTGGCAATTTATAAATATTAGGGATGAAATGTTCTAGGGTCATGCCACGAGGGTAGAATGAATTTTTCCCTGAATTAAATTACAAGATGCTTAAGGGAATATCCTTAATTTAAATGGCACAATATATTCAAGTTAATTAACTTAATTAATTATTTTAAAATAAAAATTCCATACACTGAAATCTTTGAATGACAATCGGATTAGAACACACATAGATTCAACTAAAACTCCTACTATTGATATCGTGACTAGTTCATTGATTGCCATTCATGTCAATATAAAACATGTTTAATTATAGTCATTTTAGATTTCATAAAGTAACAAATCTGGTGTTTGTGCACGTGGACGTATAGAGCATGCATGCATTCTTACATGTGTGCGTATCAGTCGGGGGTAATGACTTCAACACATTTTGAACCAACACTTCTACAGTGTAATTAGATCAATTGCACCTATTTCTTGTGACCACAAGCACATGGTTTTGGCATATACAAGTTTTGTTAGCAATGAAGATTGGACCACAACCAAAAACAATTGAAGAGGAAACTTTATTAATTCTTTCTATTTCATTCCATTTTTAGTCAATTTCAATCTTACATGATATTGACAACTTGTTACAGAGGAGGAGCCACATCAAACAATATGGTAAATGTGACTTGCCAAAAATTTTGAGAACAAGTACATAAACAAGGGACAAATTTAATGAAAATTATTTTAAGCAAAGAGGAAGGAATCATCAATGAGAAGAAGTAAAAATCTTGAGGAGGATTTCTCGGCCTGTCATGGCTGAAACTGTTCACGTTATTGCAGCAATCCAGAAGCACGGTTGAAGAGAGAACCAAGCTAAGGATGCAGAACAAGAACAATAACAAGAACAAGAACAAGAACAAGGTGTGTGGAAATGGAAATAGGATGGGGAAGGAGGGAGGAGGGTGTTGTAGTTGACACGACCATTATTTAGTCAGTCTCGTACGAATGCCAGTGACTCCGCGTTCTTTGCTTATCCTCATTATTCACGCGTCAAGAGCTCTTTTCCCTACTCTCTACGTAGAGGAAACACTACCCAAAAGTGATTGGGGTTGGCATTTCACGAACCAAATCGATAATCTAAATTGTTCATATTTTAAAAGTTATTAAATAAAATATATTTGTATAACAATAGTGATTTAGATATTTTTAAATTTTAATTCCTATCTCTCTCTACATATACGTGGTGGGTGATGATTGGACGAGAAAAAAAAATAATAATAATCAATCAAAAGAGAAAGGGGTCAAAAGGGTGGGGAAAAGGGGTCCCAATCTTTATTCTTTGTAAAAAATTATACCAATTAAGTATCGTTATTTCTTTCATCAAATCACATTTTGTATTGAATTTTATATTTCAAATTATATTTATCTTTTTTTTTTAAATACAAATACGATTTGATAAAAGGGAAAACGTTATTCGATTGACGTGATTTTTTACTGGTATATTCTATTCAATATCTTCTAAAATATGAACGGTTCAGATTATCAAATTTGCTCTTAAAATGAGCCCAATAAAATGCTCAATAATTGTTACTGCACACTATACACTCAAACAGTGCGCATCATATTATAACTAAAAAAATATATAATTTTATATTTTGTGAGTTATAATTTTTATAAAAAAATTATATTCAAATAATATATAAGATATATTTAAAATTTTCATAAATCATAATTAAAATAAGATTATAAATGAAATCACAACTAAAAATGATTATAACTAAAAAAAATCGTGTAATTTTATATTTTGTAAGTCATAATTAAAAATATATATACATAATCAAACAACATATAAGGCATAACTAATCTTTAAGACTATTTCCAACGGTTCATCAAACTTTGCATCAGATTTGAAATTTGGTAAAAAAGTCACTTTTTAGAAATCCAATGGTTTCACCAAATTAGTATCAAAATGAGAATGGAACAAAAAATTCATCAATGTGAGAATAGGCTCCAGATTTCACTATTTCACTTTGCGTTACCGTTGGGGTGGGCCAACCGGTCAACCAACCGATTGTCCGGCCGATTGCCCACTGGTCGACCGGTTGACTTTCAAATAGGTAAGTTCAAACCGGTCAAAAAGATTCAAACAGGTAAATAAATAAAAAATTAAATTACCCTTACCGGTCGACCCTTCCCTTTTGATGCACGGTTGGAGCAAGCCATATCAGATTGAGAAAATTGATTTTTTTTTACTCAAAATTGGTAAAAAATTTGATTCACCGTTAGAGATGCTCTAAGTCACAACTAAAAAATGATTATAATTGAGATAAAGAAAATTGATCATTATTAAAAAAAATTATATAATTTAAAAATATATACCATAAGAGTCGTGTATATTATAATTTCCCCCCTCTTTGATCTATGTCAAGTATTTTTCGT